GGGATGGACATGGTCAGAAACAATGCTCAGGTAGTCCGTGGCATTTAAACCATGCCCAATTGGCACTAAGGGGCCTAAAGTGTGCCAAGAAAACATCCCCCACACCATTATACCACCACCACCAGCCTGCACAGTGGTAACAAGGCATGATGGATCCATGTTCTCATCCTGTTTACGCCAAATTCTGACTCTACCATCTGAATGTCTCAACAGAAATCGAGACTCATCAGACCAGGCAACATTTTTCCAGTCTTCAACTGTCCAGTTTTGGTGGACCCGGTGGGGTCTTCTGCTGTTGTAGCCCATCCTCCTCGACTGTGATGTCAACCTATTCTGTGCCACTAGTGCGCAAGAGCGCAGCTTTCAAAACGTTTACTTGGCAACGGCAGACGAACAAACGAGCTTGTCACATGACCAAACAAATGTGCTCAAACACGAGCAGTTAGCAAAGAGCATGGCATGGAAGCAGTTTATTCTTAGGTTTTTAATTCTTGGAACACAACATCAAACCTCTGAGCCTGGCAGAACATGGCAGAGCAAACAGAACCGAGACTAGCAAAAACAGGTCAGTCAGTTCATCTGTGAGGAGCTCCTGCTTGCGTCTGACTCCTAGTTTGTCAAGTAAAATAAAAATAAGGATTAGTTCCAGTTAACCAGCTATTACATTTTGGAAAACATGCATCCCTAACATACATGCTGACACGGTCATGCCTGCCTTTGTTTAACATGCTAGAGTCAATCCACATGCCGGCGCGCTAGTCGCATTAATCCCGTTACTATGCAACCAGGAAACCACTTGGCGTGATGATGACTACAGCTTGTTTTGACACAGGGGGCTTAAAACCAAATAAAAAATTGTGAGCTAACATGTTTGTCCAAGTAAAAGTAAGACATTTATGGTAAATAATTCACACCAAGATAAAGGTGCTATTGCGCATTTGATCTGTGGCAGAAGCAAAGCGAAATCCTATAAACAGAGCTCTCTGTCAGCTCTCGCTGCTCTTCACCTTAAGCTAGGACTCGGAAGTCGAGAAGAAAAGCGAGACCAAGCTCATCCTATAGGCTGAGATACAAACCATATCACCCAATCACAAAATCTTGCATAAAAACTTTCAGCTTCAGGAGTGTGCTCAGTGCTGCTTCCTGGTGGACAAAGTCAGGAAGGACACCCCAGTGTTTCCCTTACATAGACGTAGCCGTGGCGGCCGCCATGGCTGAAATCCCAGCGCCACAACTGCAAGATCCCGTTTTATAGATTTTTTAAATTTTTTCTGCGCTGTTTCCTGAAGAAGCAGCAAGAACTACTCTGTTGTTGCTTGTGATCACAGCCGGCAGGCAGCAAGGAGGAGGAGGCAGGGCAGGGTGGTTACAGCTCGGGATGAGCGTACGGATAAAGCATTTTTGACGAATACGAGCATGAAACGAGTAAAACTCGTAAATATCTGTAATCGTGCTGAAGGAAAATCCTCATAGGGGAACTGACTGCCTTCACGCTCTGTGATTGGCCAGTCAAATTGAGCGCCCGCCCCTCCCTACACACAAAACTCTGCTCCGGCCCATCCACGCACACACAGAAAGTAACGGATCTCTCTGTGCTTGCTTCACTGTTGCTCGCGTTTCGTCACTACTCCCTAGGTTTTCTTCAGCTCGCCTCTTTTTCTGTTGAATATTTAAAGTTACTTTTATCGTAACGTACGTGGTGCGTTTGACAAGACAGAGCTGAAAACGGCTCGTGCTGAGTCGGTCACTGCCTCCGCTCCGGTCGGGGTGTTTTTTATTTTTTATTTTTTTATTTTAACTCTCTCTCCCTCTCTCTCTCTCACACACACCATAATCAACATTGTTTTGTTTAAGTGGGAAAAATGCCAACAATGTTAGGAAAAAATCAGTTAAATCAAATTAAAATAAAATGGTTCTAGTACTTCATATGTCCTAGTTCCTACTGCATGAGTTCAGATGTATTAATTCATGCACTTAAACATTAATGTTCTGGTTTTACTGAAAAAACTTGTTCTGTAATGGTTCCTTTACTATTGTGATCAAAAATATTTAATCTCAATTCTGAGGCTGCTCTGTAAATAGTTTTCGAATAAACAATACACATAGCAACTTCTGATCAGTCCCTATCAATTTCAGATTTAAAATAATGTATTGATGTAAACCACACCCACTCATTTCCAAATAATAAATAAGAGGTGCATTCATCTGTGTATCTCCTTTGATCCACATTAGTGATGTTTTCAGCACCAGAACAATGAAGCAAAGAAACAGATTCCTGAGATTAGTGTCGGTTAGTGTAGCTGCGTCTAACTGTTGACTGCTCCATCTTTTCTTATTTCTGCAGGTTAGCAACAAAAACGGCCCTCTCTCCAAGCAGACTTTGTTCTTTCATAGTCCCGTTAAATCCGCTGTGTTGATGCATTTTAAGGAGCTTCCACTGCGTGTTTACGTCACTCTCACAGACGGGGTTAAAGTAACACTTGTGCCACTGCGCGCACGCGGGTGAGGAAGGCGTGATGCGGCACCTACACACAGGGTCTGTCGGCTGCAGTGACGTGTGATTTTCTGGTGTAATCGGCTCTAAGAGGAGTAGATCGGAAATCGGTCGAGCACGTGTTTTTTACAGAAATCGGCCAATATTGATCGGTGGCCAATGGGAACATCACTAGACATTATTTCTACTAAAATTATTAATTTTATAACTTAACTCAAATGTTTTTAATGCGCAGGAAAACACTACAATCCAGTCTGCAGACACACCAGGCCCACAGCTTGAGAGCAGCATGAAAATCCAAGTTTACAACAATGGGTTAAAGAAAAAAAACATCCCAACAGCTCATAGTCTGCAGCAGAAACACGAAGCACCAAGCAACAACACAGTCTGAGGACATAAAGATAGAGTCTGGAGCTTCGGCAGTTTCAACTTAAACTGTGTTTATAATTACAGTGAATGCTGCAGTCCAACACAGGGACAACAGGGTCCTGTGTGGAGTTTCCACCTTTATCAGCGCAAGTAACATCATCATCACCACCACTAGCACTGGGAGTCAGAAAATAAAGTTTACACCATGAAGAAACATGCAGAACTGTAAGAGTGGAACAGCAGCAGGAGTGGGGGACATGCTGGGTTCTGTCCTCAGACGTAGACAATCAGACTCTTAGTGTCAAACTGTGGTGTGTGTGTGTGTGTGCGTGTGTGTGTGTGTGCGTGTGTGTGTGTGTGTGTGTGTGTGTGTGTGTGTAGCAGCTTATGGCACTCAAACACTAGCATCAGCTCCACGCCACCTGGACCAGGTTGGGAGTGTTCTCATTTGCCTTGGATTTTCCCGCGTGCAACCCAACATCTATTCAGCCCTTCTCCTGAGGCCGTCTGCCTGGAACGTGACCTCTGGCAGCATTCGATACAGTTGACCACCCTGAACAGGCTGGAGGCGCTGATTGGAGTCACAGGGAGTCCTTTAGACTGGTTCCACTCCTACCTGACAGAAAGAAACTTTAGTGTCCATATAGGTGACTGTTCGTCACCCTTTACGCCACTCCCCTGGGGGGGTGCCCCATGGGTCTGTTCTGGGTCCACTCCTTTTTTATTTACATTCTGCCACTGGGAAACATGTTGGCTTAACATGGCTTCAACTACAATCTTTATGCTTGTACTGTCAGATCCATTTGGCTCAAAATCAGTCAAGTTGAACCAATCAGCTTCATGAATGTCTCCTGGACATTAAGACACGGCTTGCTTCCATTTTTCTGATGCTAAATAACAAAAAGACTGAGGCTGTTCTTTTCCAACCTAAACACTCTGACACCTGACAATGTCTGCACATGTTAATGCTACCGTTAGATCCTGTGTTTCCCAGCTCCGTCGCATAACCCATCTAAAACCTATTCTCAAAGAGCAGCACCTGGAATCTGCCGTTCATGCATTAATCACCTCTAGACTTGATTATGCAAATGCTGTTCTCATTGGTGTTAATGCATCCACTCGGCCGCTTGCAGCAAGGTTTCTTACAACGTCAACCTGACGCTGTTATAGCACACCTGTTCTATCTGACCTACACTGGCTTCCGGTGCACTACCAGGTGCAGTTTAAAATGTTTAGCTTTTAAAGCTCAGCATGGTCTCGCTCCCCTCTACCGGACAGCTGCTCTCACCATACATGTCTGTGCGCCAGTCTGCTTTTACTGGTCCAGTTCAAATCTAGCCAAAATACCCATTTCTTTCATCTAGCTTTTGGCCAATGAGTGTATTCTTGTGCTGCATTTTAGTTATTGATGGCCTTAAAGTTTTATTTCTGAACATATCTTTTTTCTGACTGTTAAGCCTGCACTCTCTGTTTGAAGGTGAATTTTAATCCTGTTTTTATGTCTAAGATTTTACCCCGTGCGGCACTTTGGTCGGCTGACACGCCGTTTTTAAATGTGCTTTTGCAAATAAATATGGTATGGTACAGTATGGAATGGAGTTGAACAGGGCCAACACACCCACTGTTATCTAAATGGCCGGCTCAAAATCATGCGTACCATTAAGAGGAGCCTCTGATTGGCGGATAGAATCAGCCCACGGGAGCTTCCCGCATGCGATTCATCATCATTCTGGATGCTGCGGTTAACGAGCATCTGACTGAAGCCGTTTTACGATGTCTCTGTCTGCTGTGAGAAGGCAGGCAAGCACGCGCACACACAATGCTGCTAGACGCAGCAAATCAGGATGCAAAATCAGAGTCAGAGTCTCCAAAAGCAAACCTGCTCAGGCCGCTTTTGTTAAATAATGGAGACACCACGGTCTGCTTTGAGCACTTATGCCTCGCCCACGTGCTCATGACATCACAGGCCACAGAACTCCAATGTGCTCAATCACGTTCGCATTGCTAAGGCAGTGTGAAAACGCAGTCAGGCTGGGGCGGGCGGAGCGGTGTGTAGTGGAGCTGATGCTAGTGGCGTTTGTCACAAAAGTCATCCTGTTACTGAGTCCAGCCTATGAATAGCAAACAAAGGACTCACCAGTGCAGGCCACTGTATGTGTTTGGCCTTGTTCCCCTGCAGATGGCCTCCTGCTGTTTCTTCCGTCCTCTTTGCCCAGACCAGCTGGTGCTCCAGGAGAAAAAGCTGGAAATCCTCATAGACCTTCACCCACTCTCGCTTCTCCCACTCCTGGTCGTCAAACTCTACATACACCTGGAAAGCAGACAATAAAGAGATGTTAGCTTTGTTGGGCTACTTGGCTGTACTGCCCCACCCTTGATGAATCCTCACTAAATACATACATACATAACCGAGTATATACAGTGGGTACGAAAAGTATTCAGACCCTTGTCAATTTTTCACTGTTACTGTCACAGCCATTTGATAAAATAAATTTAATTCATTTCTTCCTTGTGATGTACACACAGCACCCCATTTCGACAGAAAAACACAGATTTTTTGAAATGCAGACTGATTTATTTAAAAACAAACACAGAAATATCGCATGGTTTTAAGTATTTAGTAGAAGCACTCTAATGAGCCAATACTGCCACGAGTCTTCTTGGTGAAGATGCAACAATTTTCTTATATATATATATATATATATATATATATATACACACACACACACACACTAAACATACCGTTCAGGAAATTATTATACATTTATAATGTAATCAGTTAGAATAAATTGAATGAAGTCTGAATATATGAACTGAAAGTCTGAATTTATAGACTGAAGTTTAAATATTTTGATTGAAGTCTGAAAAAATTGAATGAGTAGTGCTTTAAGGAGGTCGGCGTGCAGCGGTACACACTGCCACTGACCCATCAGCATACCAGGACTTAGTAGTAGAGCACCAAATTCTCCCCGCAAAGTGTGTCACTGAGAGTTTAAAACAAAAATTATTCTTGTGCAAATATTGGTGTATTCACCTTTAATACTAGTTATTACAATGCAGCAGTTGCTGGATTGGTGCAGTTCAAAGTGGAGTGCATCACATAAAACAATATTAACATAAAGGTGAGACGTGTCATAATTTAGGCTGCAAAAAGGCAGTCCCTTTGCTCATAGAATAATAATAATAAACGGAGCAATTACAATAGGCCTTCGCAGCTTTGCTACTCGGGCCTAATTATTTATACATTTTAACAGTATAACAAAGGTAGATTTACATGGAATCGTTTCGTGGGTTTCTAAATGCTTACAACTGATTTTAAATCTGCTTATCCAAGGAAGTTTTTCGGCCGATGCAGATATTTAAAAAAAAACTGTAAATATCAACCATTCATTTACAGGTTAACCATACTGAGAAGCATTCATCTAAAATAAAGTATAAAATAAGTCTTAAAACAGCCCAGCAGATGGCCAGTTGGTAATGGCAGACATATCAGTCCAACCCTATCCTTGAACTCTACATGTCATGTTCTCTGACTCAGAGGATAAACAATTAAAACCAATACTAATACTACACAGCTGATCACAGAAACCTTTTGACATCCTCTTAAGGATAATCCAGTGACTGATATGTGGTTCAGTGAACAAATGTGAGAATGCATTATCCAGGTTTCATTGTTGCCCTCCTTCCTCCACACGACTCCATCCCTCCCCCATTCTACACAGATAGGGAGGGATCAACGAGTGCATCCCTCTTCAACCTCCTCCACTCCCACAATGCCCTGCTGAACTGAGTGATCAACCCCAGCCAGCCATTTATGAGACTAAATATCACATCCTTCCTCCACCCCGAATGTCTTGTGTAGAACTTCGGAAGGTCGCCTTGGGCCTCCTGACAGGGTTGCGGAAGGCGCTTTATAAATAAAGCTTTGATTGATTGATTGATTGATTGAACTTTCCAATAAATCAGTTCATTCGTTACGGTTGTCTCATGTCATTTGTGACAACACTGCGTTATTTGTCAACCTAACCATTTTACCTTCATTATGACTGCCTCAGTGTCAGTCATTCCAGGACACCCCCCAACTGAGCCCAATCCACCACTCTCACATGATCCTCCATTCTTTATTCCTCCTTCCATCCTCAACTGTTCCCAGGGAATAAAGGTTGACCTCAATCTGTGACTTCTACTCGGTCCAATTTCATTATACTAATATTGGATTTTTAAACTTTGTTTATTTAATCCCTCATGAAAAACACCCTCGATAAAGTTTTTGGCTTCGCACATGCATTTACCTGTCTCAACTGCTTTTTTCCTTTAGCTCTGCATATTTTTGCCAAGCTAATGAATTCAGCAGGATGATGATGTTGATTGTCCTGCTTCTCTCCATCCAGATAGTCTCAAGTCCGGATCCCGCCTCCCTTGGACTTTAAACACTAACACTCAGTGTCTCTGTGCGGATGGCAGATAATTTAATCTCCAGAGTTGGGAGTGATTACTTTCTTCTCTAGTCTGAAGCAAAATATTTATTTTTGTCTGCGAGAGCTGCAGGATCCCTGTACAGTCTTCCTGAAGAAGAGTTTTATGGCTTGGTTTATGCTTGACGCATTTACTTTCCGCTTGGTGATGCGGCTCGCGGATGGAACGCGCTTCACAACTCGCAGCGTTTATGGTTCCTGCAGCTCGTCTCTGCGGTGAGCCAATATTCTCCCAAACTGTAGGGGGCAGCATGGAGCTCTACGGCATGCGTCCAACACTACACCATAGTAGAAGTAAAAATTACTGTTGTTTACAACATGGCATTCCAGCATTTTTAGCAGCGTCCTCGTCTTTGCCGACAGTGCGAGCTATTTCACGGTGATCTCTGAGAGCTGAATCATACAAATGTCTGTATTTACGAACCTCTGCCATACTAGTTATTGCCGGTCCGCCATGTTTTTCCACGTCCGACCATCCGCGTGGTTAGAAAATTTCCTAGGTGCGTGGTACGGAAATTTTGGGCCGTGCGGAGGTGCGGTGGAGGGGCGTGGTGGTTAAAATGATGCAATTTCGCCACGCGGAGCCTTGCGGACGCGTCAAGCATAAACCAACCTTTAGCCTCTATGGAATTCTCTCCTTCAAGCAGTCAGTAAAGCCTGGTATAGGGTTGTCTCTGTGTGAAAACTTAACCTTGCTTTTATTGAGACCAAAATTATTAGTTTTCGATTTTATCGCGGCATTTTTTTAAACGTGTCACATGGTTTTGAAGTAGTGCTGCTCTTACTTGAGTACAGTAGTTGGCTACTCTTTCCTAGCGCCCCCTACAGATCAGGGGCACCCAAACCGTTTCCCTCAGTGGGACAAAATGAAAATCTATCTCCCACTCCTATTTATTATTTCATGATAACTATATTTTGTTGGTCGTTTAGATGGTATTACATTCACTAATTTATAGCACCAGAAACGTGTTTTATATTTTCAGACAACTAAATAAACCCTCTATATCAGTATAGTTGTTCTCGGTTTGTGTCCTTCCAGTGAGCTTTGCACATTTGGGAAAATGTCATTATGCAGTAATCATCGTTAAATTCATAATACGGCCAAAGTCAATCTGTTGCATTCGCGACCATCTCTTATGTGTCCCCTCAGAGTCCTGTAATGCATAGCGTCATTTAAATTTGGGGGTGTCTGTGACACGGTTTATACACTGGCAGTGGGCACTGTGGCTGCACTATAGGGCCACTCGTTGTGTTCTCCCTCAACCCAAAGTCCTCACATCACGCATTTCAGCTAAAACGCCAACTTTAACTTGTCTTACTGTAGAGTTGTGGGTGATGGACATGCAGATGTGTCATGAGATTCAAAGCGTTGCTGCCTTTCACAGACACGGTTTTCCAGCACGTGCTGCAAACAGACAGAACATTTCCGTTTTTGTTCAGGACAAATGAATTTTTGAGCGCTCGGGAACCATTTGGTGGTTTAACCCCCCAATCTAACCCCTTAATGCTGAGTGTCAAGCAGGGAGGCATTGGGTCCCATTTTTTTCTAAGTCTTTGGTATGATCCGGCCAGGAATCGAGCCCTGATCTCCCAGTCTCAGGGCGGACACTCTACCACTATGCCACTGAGTTGGTAAAGGAAAGAAAAACAAAAAAAAAGATATAAGACTAAATTATGACGAATACTGATTTACATTTTTGTTGACAGTATCAATTATCCAATCAGAAAATGGAAAAGATAGAACAGGTGAGAAAAAAACAGCTGGCCGCTGTTTTAACAAGCTACCGGTAACAATTTAACTATTTATGCCTAACGACTGGGTGGAAAAGCATTAAATGTGACAATCAGAAACAAGTTTGCGACTTCCGGTTTGGGCGTTCATGTGAAGACAGCATAGTCTCGATTTCCTGCAGCGGCAACTTTGAAAAGTTTTTTTTCTGGGAAGAACCCAGTGAACTGAAAATTAAGTTTTAAAACACTTCAAACGAATACTGAGGAAGAAGAATGTGCCTATAATGGCAGAAACAGAACCAGATGAAGCCACATATTTGATTTAGATGTGCACAGTTCTAACTAGCATTGCTGACATGCAGGAAGAGCACAGAGTTAGCATTGCAGCAGTCTACAAAAAATCACTTGCAACCCTGAAATTAAGACTCGACAAAACACAGAAAATTATACAGAGCATGGTCAGCGAATGAACTCATGCTGAACTGCAAGACCAGCGAGTTCAAGCTTTGGAGGAGAGATGCCTAGCATTTGCAAATAGCAACAGCAAGCTAACTGCTAAAATCATCAATCTCGAAAGCCTCAGCCGCAGAAACGTCAGGATAATCAGCATCCCCGAATCAATAGAAGGACCAAGTCCACAAACCTTTTTGCCGAACTGCTGGCTGAAATGTTCTGCTACCAGATCCTTAAATCTCAACCAAAACTGGACTGAGCTCGCAAAGCACTCACTGCTAAAAACGGCAGACCAGCACCCGGCCCAGACCTGCGATAATCCACCTTCATCGCTACCAGATTAAGGAGTTAATCATCCGCGAGGCTTGCAAAGATTGGGGAAAACTTCAGTACTGAGGGTCACCTATCAAAATCTTTGAGGACTACACATCTGAAGTTGCAGAGGAGCCAAGTACCAAACTGTGATGGCCAACCTCTACAACTTGGCTCTCTGGCTAGCGCTTCTCTTCCTGAAGAGTAGCATGAGGATAAGATTCTCATCACCTGAAGAACCAAACACTTTTGTGGCTAAGTACCAAGAGACTTCAAGACCTGATTAGCTTAGTTTAAGAGCTGTTTTCCTTGAGGCTAGCATAACCAGGTTAACTAAACT